TATATATATATGTATATATATATATATATATATATATATATATATATATATATATATATATATATATATATATATATATATATATATGTGTATATATATATACACATATATATATATATTATATATATATATATATATATATATATATATATATATATATATATATATATATATATATATATATATATATATATATATATATATATATATATGTATATATATATATATATATATATATATATATATGTATATATATATATATATATATATATGTATATATATATATATATATATATATATATATATATATATATATATATATTTATTTATTTATAGACACACACACACAAACACACATATATATATATATATATATATATATAAATATATAAACACGCTCACATACATAAATGTATCACAACATAAATTGTATTTTCATATTTTAGACAGTTGGTTGGAGCAAGAGATCGAGTAAAGAATGGACTAAAGAAATTATTGGAGACTAATAAAGTTGTTGACAGTATGCAGGTATTTTTTTTTTTCTTTTGAGCATTTGAAACAATTTTTTAACTTGTAATTTCAATTTTTTGGAAAAGTTGGAGGTTTTCAAATTTGGTGTGAGTTTAAACTTTTTAAGTGTACATACTTAATATCTAATGTTTTGAAAACCACTGGTGTTTTATTTAAAAACCATGTTCATTTACTAATTTCAAGGTCGAGCTAGTAGCATTAGAACCGGAGCTCAAGCAAAAATCTCTTGATACTGAAAAACTTATGGAAAGATTAAAAGTTGATCAACTGGAAGCAGACAAGGTTTATTTATTTAACCAACTTAATTGAATGTTTTGTGAAACTTTTTTCCTATTACACATTTTGTATAGGTTCGAGATATCGTGATGGCTGATGAAATAGTTGCAAGTAAAAAAGCTAAAGAGACTGAAGCCATAGCATCAGATGCTCAAAAAGATTTAAATGAAGCATTACCAGCATTAGAAGCTGCCAACAAAGTATTTTTTTTGGGTTTTTATACCTTTATTTACCTTTTAAATTTTTTCTCACAATATAAGCAAAAAAAAACCCTTTTATGTTTAAATTCTGTGCTAAAAAATAAGATACAATAATTGTTTGATGGCAGGCACTAGATTCACTAGATAAAGCAGACATATCTGAACTTCGTGTGTTTACGAATCCTCCAGAAATGGTTATGACTGTAATGGAATCTGTTTGTATTTTGCTAGGAGCAAAGTAAGTTAAACTATATATATATAAATTTATATATATACACACACATATATACATTTATTAATGTGAATTACACACAATAATAATAGAAGTATACACACATACAGCAGTCTCTTGGTTATGCAAACACATACAAACACACATACACACACACATAGAAATACACATAGAAATACACATACAAACACACATACACACACACACACACATAGAACAGTTTTTCTGGTTATTTAAATCTTCATAATAAAATTACACACATGCACACTTGCACACACACATACATCAGTCTTTTTTTGATCTATAATGTTTCACTGGTACGAATCTCAAAATATATGTTTTCTTAATTGCCAACTGCGAGGTCTTAAAATTTTGGTTTAAGCTGTAATTCATAACCTGACTAAGAAATACATGGCTTCAAGAATGTTGATCATTGGGATTATTTTGGTAGCGTTGCTGTCCTTAATTTGAAACTTCAAAACATTTTTGCAATAAAAAGCTTTTAATGCTTTTTTCTATTTAGGGTGATGCAAAATAAGGGTTAAAAAAAAATGTTTTGGTAGACCCCCTTATTTGTTTTAATTTTTTATAAAAACAATCTGTTTGAAATTGTAGGTTAAAATTTAATATTTAGGGGGTGCGCCGGCTAATAGAAATTTGTAGAAATTCAAAAATTTGAGTAAAATCATACTTTGAAAATTTGCTGATTCCCTTTACACCTGGGAGGTGCAGCAGCGTCACTTTTACACCTGGGAGGTGCAGCAGCGTCACTTTTACACCTGGGAGGTGCAGCAGCGTCACTTTTTCACTTCTTAGTGGAAGTTCTCTGCTAGGATTATAAAAACCATTTTCCTATTTTCTATTTACTAATAAACAAAGTAAAATACAATGGAAATTTTTAAAAGATATCTTATAATATAATACATCATAAAACTTATACTTTTGGTTTTATCTTTGTGTTAAAGATAAAATATTTATCTTAGATTTGTCCTGGAGCTTCCTCTGATAGTTTGATACAACTTGTAATAGATATTTTTCTGTTGCTCATCATTGGTGATTAATTTGTTGTAATTTTCAATCAAATTCACGCCTCTTTCAGGAATATAATAAAAAACTTTCATATGTTTTACTAAGTTATATGCTTTTAAATAACTCTCATCAAGAGGCCAATCTTTTACTGGTTTGCTTAAGAATGCTGAAGACAATCCAAGTATACTAAAAAAAGAATTTGTGTTAGTTGTTAAAAAATCTTCAAGCTGCTTAGAGTCAATTGTTTTGATATATATTTCTGTCTTCTTTGCAGGATCTGTTTATTGAGGTTTTGTAATAGCATCCTTCATTTTTTTTGGTGTCAAAGCTTACTTTATCATTAAAGAAAGCTAATTCAATCAACTCTTCAGAGAGATACCACAAATGATTCTTAAATTTGCCAAGTGCAACATTTGCTAATTCTTCATTTGTACTTTTGTAGCTGTCAAGAATCTTAAGGAGACTTAGATCATTTCGTACTTACTGCATGGGGAGCCAAGAACCAATGCCAAATGTATATTGCAACACAAAACAGACAAATTTCTTTTGGTTTTTTTTCTTCCTTAGCTGTTATTTTAAACTGAATTTTGAACATCTAGATTTTCATGGAATAAATGTCTTTCACCATCTAATGTGCTCTGTGATAAGTACCAGGCTCTCTGAATTTAATTCCAGCTTTTGGAGTACCGTCAAGCAATATAGTTAAAAGTTCCAATAATTCTTTGTAATGATCGCAAGGTTGATTTTCATTGAGTTTTTTTACTGCAAATTGTATGATTTCTTCTTTTTCTTTTTGTGTATAATTGTCTAATTTATTGAATGAAGTTTGATCAACATTAATCCGGTTTTCTTTTTAATCTTTTAAATAACTGAATATCAGGGCCTGATGAAGCTGACAATGTTGTGGATACCATTGCTTCCAACACGATTTCAAGGATATGATGTCAACAAGGACATCATAAAAAATCTTTTTCCATATTTTATTCAAGTAAGACACAAGCTCCATTTTTTTGACTGGTGTTTGATGAAGTTGTATCAAAGCACATACCATTATCTGTCAGATTCCATTCAATGAACAACTGTTGTACTGATGTACTGCATTTGCAACTGATGTAATGCATTTGCAATCTCCTTTCCTGTACCATGATCTAATTTTGGCACTCCAAGCAATTGATCATCTCCACTGCCAGATAGGACTGGCAACCAATCTACAACCTCATTGTCAACAATGTCTTCAAGTAGTTTGCCATCCCAATGAACAAGCAATGGTTTGTCAGTTTTATAAGTCTCTTTCAAACTTTCACTAAAATTTTTTCTTGATTTTTGTCTTGCCCTTCGTATCAATGAATAGCGCACATTGTAATTATTTAGGTCTTCTCCCAGATTTGCGATTGTTGAAATTATTATTAAAGAGGCTGGTTGGACACTGATCTTGGCAACATTCAATAAGGAAAGCAGATTTTAATCCATAATTTTTTTTTTCTTGAAGTGCCTCTTTTCGATGTTAATTCCTGTTCAAGATTTAATTTGTCTTCAATAGATGCAGGTTAATTACTGCAGAAGCTGTTGCTGCTTGCAAGAATTACTGTTTATCTAATGAATAGGATTCACATGATCTTTTCATATACATTTTTTTCTGTTTCTTTGCCATTTTGGTTTGACATTTTTCTTCATTCTTACTCCCATCATTTTTCCCTTTAGACATTCCCTTTGTAACTTTAGAAAATCTCTATCTTTCTCAATAGTTATTAACTCATTTGCATGCGCTATATCAATGAGTGTATCCAGTTTTTTATTCTATTTAATCTCTTTCTTTAAGGAGAATTTTGATTTTTTTCTTTTACTTTTCTTTAACAATTTCCATTCAATATACAGTTTATTTAATTTATTCACAACATCAAATTTCAGAGAGGTTGGTATTCCTGCTCTCTTCCACGTCGCTAATACACTATTAACTGCAGAAGATAATGCTTCTCTGTCAGTTTCTTTGCAGACATTTTTATAATGCATCAATAAATAGATTACTTCTCTTTTTAATGGTAGACAAGTTGGATTAAAATTATCTATTTGTTGACCTATCAGCTAAATATCTGTTGTACTTCTTGTTTTCCATTTTATATCACAATTATTAAACAGCAAGTAAAAGTAATAATACAAGCAGAAAAATTCAAACTCATTAAACATGATTTCACTCAAATTTTTAAAATGTTACTTATTTTTAATGTAAAGGACAGTAACGATTGTTACGAAAACAATTCCCTCTAGTTAATTGAATCTAATGCTCACTCAGATAAACGATTAGCGATTGCGGGATAAGCAATTCCTTTTAGAGAATTACATAAAAACTGATTGCGAAAGTATTCCCTTAAGAAACTAGTTCCGCACAAGGAGGTCTCACTTAAAAATTGTAGCGCTGAACTCAATAGGAGTTGGAATAACAACATGAGAAGACTACACACAGTTTATATAAAACTAGTTGTAACAATTAAATACATAGATTTATAAACATTTTTTAACAAAAACCATTGTTTATTTTCTTTTCCATATAAATAAGAATACAAACAATACAGGGCCTAAGGGGTTAATCCTAATTAGATTTTGTCATCCGAACTCGAACTAAGCAATATAAAATTATCTACAAGAGTCCAAACCTGTTGGCTTATTAGTAATTGTGTAATAACAACTTGGCTGGCGCACCCCCTAATTATTATTGTTTTGAGTTAAAATTTTGGACAGAACGTTTTTATAACAAGTTAAAACAAATAAGGGGGTCTCTCAAGAAATTTGAGACAGTCATGTTTCTTGCATCACCTTAATATATATATATATATACACACACATATATATATATATATATATATATATATATATATATATATATATATATATATATATATATATGTATATATATATATATATATATATATATGTATATATATATATATATATATATATATATATATATATATATATATATATATATATATATATGTATATATATATATATATATATATATATATGTGGGCAATTCTGCAAGAAAGAGGAAAAAAAAAAGCAAAAAAGTTTTGAAAACACATACTAAACTCCATAACTCTTTTTTTTTCTAACTATTTAAAATATTTTAAGCAAAAAAGTTATCAAAAAAAAAAAAAAAATCATTTCATTGCATGGTTTTAAAGTTGTAAGGGTTGTATAAACGTGTTTGGATGCTTATTTACAGTCTTGTTGTGTAGCACTTAAAATTGCATTGTATATCCATAATTGAGAACTTTGATATTGTGTTTTCTTAACATAATATGTATGGTTGCTAGATCATTTATACTTTTTTTCTTACATCATTAATTGCATTGTTTTGTTTGTTGTTTTTAAGCATTGGATTTTTTATTAAGACTGCTACAACAGAAAAAACACAAAAATGCTTGAAAAACTTCAAGTAAAAACTATGAAACTCAGCATATAATAACATCAATACGTGTTAAATACGCACACCAGATGATTTTTTTTTTTTATCATGATACAAAAATATTTTTAAAAAATTTTCATGAAATTGTAGACCAGATTGGGCAACTGCAAAGATTCTTCTTGGTGATCCGAACTTTCTGAAAAGATTAATCGACTTTGACAAGGTAATAAATGGTGTTAATTTTGATATGATAATACATTAGTATTAGTTATACACACATATACAAAATAATTTATTATAGGACAATATCCCTGATTCAGCTTTAAAAAAGCTTAAAAAGTATATTGAAAATCCAAAGTTTTTACCTGAAATTGCAGAAAAGTCATCAAAGGTGTGTTGGATTTTTTGGGTTAGTTTAAATTTTTAATAATAGTGAATTGATGAGCCACAGAAGCAGAAACATTGCTGCAGTAAAAATGTGTTAAAAAGTGAAAAGAGAAAATAAAGTGTTATAAAATGTTTTTTTTTTTTTTTTATAAAAGTATATATTTTTACACTTTTTTTTTAAAATAAATGCTTAACTTAAAATGATGTATATAAAGCCAATTTAATATTATGTTATACCAGGAGTTGGCAACCTACTTTAAGTAGAGAGCCATTTTTCCTTAAATAATTTTTTAAAAAACTTACAGGAAGTTTCAAAGAAGCTAGTGTAAAAACTTACAGGAAGTTTCAAAGAAGCTAGTGTAAAAACTGAAGATTATTATCTACAACTTATTATTTTATGATATTCAATGATTTTTATTTTTACTTATTTTTACATATTTTAAAGTAAATAAACAAATAAATAATTGAAGCAAAAGTTTTAATAAAAATGAGCAAAAAAGGAAGTGGTATTTTTGTGAGGTAATTGATTCATAGATTTGTTTTTCAACTAAATGAAAGTCTTAAGTTTTAGACAACTTTTAAGGCTAATATCATTAAGAGAGTCTCAAGTTACTTTTAATAATGTCCATGTTGCTAAATATCTGCTCATAATAACTTGTTCATTCAAAATCTATCAAGAATCCTAATGCTACCAGCTTCATATAGATTTGTCAAAGCAAATTTTTTGAAAATTGTCTGAAATCTGTAAAACGATTGGCATCAGAATCTTATTTTTTTCGATAGCAAAAAATACAAAGTTTTAATAACACTTCCTGCATCTTGTTGCTTTTTTAAATGTAAGAAATGAATTACATTTTGATCTTTAATATCTTAAAAAGATATTTGACTTTCAAAAAAAACTTCATTTTCTAAAATTAAATTTTCAAATGTCTCATTTTTACAATATCTTATTGATATTGTTAAGATGAGTTTGCCTACATTTAATATTTTTACTATTTTTACTACCAAGTCCTTTACATCTTGAATCTTGAAAAGAAATGCTTAGGAAAAATACAGTGTAGTTTAAAAAGTTAGCCACGGCAGTGTTTAATGCAGTTAAATTCATTTCCATTTCTAACAATATAGTTTTCACACTGATTGCATTTTATGTTAAACATTCTTTAACATAAAATATAATCATAAAGTTCAACATTGTATTTTAAAATTTTACAATATTTAAAATACAATGTTGACATTTTTGCATGCAAATTTTATTCTCTACTTTTGTGAAACCTGTGTTAGAGCAACACTATATAAATAACTACATACTTTATTTTAATATAGTTCAATCTAATTTTAAATCATTACTTCATCAGTTAAGAAAAATTAATATATATATATATATATATATATATATATATATATATATATATATATATATATATATATATATATATATATATATATATATATATATATATATATATATGTATATATATGTATATATATATATATATATATATAACATATATATATATATATATATGTACATATATAATATATATATATATATATATATATATATATATATATATATATATATATATATATATATATATATATATATATATATATATATATATATATACATATAATATACATATATAAATGTATACACATGAAACTTTTAATAATGAAAATTATGTAATTGTTTTTTACTTTATCTCATCAAACCAACACTAGTACTGATAGCTATAGTAAAATAGGTACCTGCCACAGCAAATCCTTACTCTTTAAGTTTTTTAACCTTTTCAACAAATTCAGATAAGTAAACTTTAGCTGATATTGGTTTACTATTTCCACAAAACATGCCAATTACAAATGGTTTAAAAGTAGTTTCACCATAACTTACTGAACATAGTATTGGCCAAAACTGTTTTGCAGAACTTTTATACAGTGGCAATCTATCAATATTAAATTGAAGGTTCAAACAAAAGTCTCGACATAATGTAACTTTATGCGTATTTTCCATTAATTGTATTAACTGGTTTTCAAGACCTAAATATACATATTCACCATCATTCTTATAGATATCATGCATTATATTATATATAATGCATGATATCTATATTAGCAAATTTTTTGGTTTTTAAAATGGTTCTAGCATCTTTTGGTAAAGAATGATATTGACCTAAAATGGCTAATAAATCTGTTAGAGCAGTATGTGTAATATTATGCTTTACAGACCAAGTGGCAAGCAAGTCCTGTAAATGGTTAGTCCTGTAATGGCTTGAATTGTCTTCACTTGAACAAGTCAGGAAATAGCCATTAAGATCATTCTCATCAAATGTATTTAATTGACAGAAAGAATCATCAGTAAATTCTGTATTTGCTTGATGTTTAGGATCAATAATTTATTGATTTTCAGTTATTTTGAAAATAGTATTTTGATTTTCAGTAATTTCAAAATCAATACTTGTACTGTCTTCATTACATAAATTACTACTCCCACTGCTGGTACAAAATAAACTTTCATTTGGTTGCAGGTCTTGCGTTTTAAAGGTTCTAATAGAAGTTTAAAGTTCTTCCAAATGCCTAATAAGATTTCTTTTAATAAAGTTTGTTTGAGCTGCATGTGAATTCTTTTTTTTTTTTGTTTAAACATGACCTAAACATGCAAAAACACTTAATTTATATATGTATATATATATATATATATATATATATATATATATATATATATATGTATATATATATATATATATATATATATATATATATATATATATATATATATATATATATATATATATATATATATATATATATATATTACCATATAATATATTTCTATATTTTTAATATAGAAAATAAATAAAATATTAATACATACTATATATAATACTAATACATACAATTTTATATTTATAATATTAATAAAGGTTTGTTTACAATAGTGACATAAGTTAAATTGCTATCTAAAGGTCAGTTTCCACATACTTTAAATAGCCGTACAACCCTAAAATATGATTGGCTAATTCCATTTTTATGCACTGTATTTTATTTGTTTTGCTTGATACTGAACAAAGAAAATAATATTTTTCAAAAATAGAACGCAAACAAAAATAAGTTTGTAATTTAAAACATTAGCTCACAGAACAGTGCTGTTGCACAACTGTTGTGACTTTATCGCTGACTGTGTCGATAGAAACCAAACTTAACTGTTAACTAATGTCATAAAGAGATGTGAATAATAGTTCAGATTCAATTAATTTCGAACAAATAATATAAAGGCAGTCATTAACAATCACTTTTAAAGTTGTACTTTGATATTATATATTACTTTGAAATATAAAAATTGTAAATAAAAGTTTTTAGTAAACAAGATCAAAAATAGTTTTTATTAACATTAAAAGTTATTGTTAATTCAAAATAATAATAATAACAAAAGAATCAAATAGTCAAATAACAAATAATAAGAATAACATTAAAATACTTATTTAATTTAATTTACTAATTATTTGAATACATAAAAATTTATTCTCATATAGTATGTAAATTTAAATTTCTAAATAAATAAATTTTAAAGAAATAAAAAAGTCATATATTAAATTAATTTCATAAAAAATGAAATAAATAGTTCAGTATTTTTTAAATTTCATCAGGCTGTTGAGTGTTTAAAACATTTGACTGTTGAGTATTTAAAAGCAGCAATGATGAAGTTGAACTTCATCATTGCTGCTTTTGCTAACACTACGCTTTTTTCTACCTCCATCTCAATCTGCAACTTGAGCTAGAAAACTGCTGACTTTGACTTTGATATTGGCTTTAGTCGAATCTGGAAACTGTTTCATAACAGCAGCTACATGCAAGTAAAAAAAATTTTTTAACCACATTATCAGAGCAAAAAGTGTGATTATAAATTAGTAATGAAATTTTAGTATAAATGTAAATAAAAAATAACGATCATGAGAAAATGGATAATAAAGATTCAAGAAGTCTCAAACACCAAACACAAAACCTCAAGGTTTCAAAAACAAAAACGCAAGATTTCATAAAAACATAAACAATAAAATAAGATTTCATAAAAATATAAACAGTATATTTTAATAAAACAACATTTACCTACTAAAGCTCTATAACATTTCAGATTTCTTTCCTTTTCTGCCTGAGTATTGTAAACTCAGAGACTTTGAGAATAAACAATTCATAATATCTCTTGTCATTCGATTGCAATTAATCCCACCAACAGAGGCCAAACGATTTGTCTGTTAAATTTGGAGGTTATCGTTATCTGATCTCAATATTACATATGAAAAAAAATTGAGGATATGCGTTTTAAAATTTGAAAGTTTCACTCTTATAGCCTGTGACATATATATATATATATATATATATATATATATATATATATATATATATATATATATATATATATATATATATATATATATATATATATACATATATATATATATATATATATATATATATATATATATATATATATATATATATATATATATATATATATATATATAGATGTCCCAGGCTATAAGAGTGAAATCATATATATATATATATATATATATATATATATATATATATATATATATATATATATATATATATATATATATATATATATATATATATATATATATATATATATATATATATATATATATATATATATATACATATATATATATATATGTGTGTATATATTATATATATATATATATATATATATATATATATATATATATATATATATATATATATATATATGATTGCCGATAGGCATGAAACTTTAAGTTCCATTAAAAGTTGTTTTTTCTATATTTAAGTATATATATATATATATATATATATATATATACATATACCTAAATATAGAAAAAACAACTTTTAATGGAACTTAAAGTTTCATGCCTATCGGCAATCATCAGCCATGAAGTACAAAACCAAAAATATAAAAAACCATTTAAAAATTACAAACTACGGTAGAATGAGTTCTGACGTTTTAGTACAAGAAGACGTAATGGAAAACTAATCTCTGCTGTCAAATAATGAAAGGAGAAATTTATTTTTGTGTCTACATTTAGAAACTACTTCGCCTCTTTTATTTAGCAGGTTATCTCCTTTGTAAAATAATATTTCAAATTTCTAATTTAAACAAAGCTTACAAATTTTTGACGCAGGATTGTATGATTTACAGCGTTTAATTATATTCCATTTGATTGAAGATGTAAAACTGTTATCTTTTTATTCCCATACTTCCTTAGTGTCGTTCTTGTACTTTTTTATGTTGAACAATTTTAAATGGTTTGCATAATGTAGCTTAAAAGAGGTAAGGCTTATCCCAATGTATACCTTATCTTTGTATTGAGGTTTATTTGAGCTTACGGTGGCTTGGTAAACGATGTTGTTAGACAAGAATATGTATATATATATATATATATATATATATATATATATATATGTTCTTGTCTAACAACATCGTTGTTGGTAAATGATGTTGTTAGACAAGAATATATATATATATATATATATATATATATATATATACATAAATATATATATGTATATATATATATATTCTTGTCTAACAACATCGTTTACCAAGCCACCGCTCTATCTGCTATATCATTAAATGCTCTCAGTGTCAATAGCTTCTTTTTAGTTTGTTGGAATGAATCATTTGACCAAAAAGAAGGGCTCTTTAGAAAACTGTCATCAATTTTGAGTTGATTAAATAGGAACTTTCTTTTGACAGAATTAAAGTCGTTGATGTTTTTTTCTGAAATTAAAACAGAAGAAATGGTTATCAATCGTATGGTTAACTATAGAAGAAAATTGAAGCATAATTTACACATAAGACATACCAAAAAGTGGGACACAAAATTCTCCTTTGGATGCAATGCAATGTTTATTGTGAGCTGATGAGTTTTCTTGAGCTAAGTTAGCAATCATTTTTACTTTAGTTTCTTGATCAACATAATCGTCAAATAAAGAAAAAATAGATAGTTCATCTGTCAAATACCATTAATACTGACAAAACTTTTTTTAAATCTTATATCCTAAATTTCTTCTCTGTACCTCCACCAAGAAATATTATTGAAAGCTCAATTAATTCATAATAGTCATCTTTAGCTATTTCTTTATTATATCCAAATGGGTAGAATTCTAGCAGTTTATTAATTTCTGAAACACTTAAACAAGCCTTTCTGTACAGATTTGTATTTTTTCAGCATTGACATTTTTCCAGTTTTCTCAGAACTTTTTAAACAACACAATGAGCTAGTAGTTACTTGGCTGATTTTTGCTTCAAACAATTTTTTAATACTAGTTCATTTCTTTAACCAGTTTTTGTTCAAGAAGCACACATGCTCCATTTATATGGCCTGTATTTGAAGTAGTAGTATCACTAAAGAGAATCTGCACTCTGTTCTCAAGATTCCAGTTGATAATGGAATTCCAAACTGCCTGTGCCTGTTCTTTTCCTGATGAGCTGTCCAATTTTGGAACAGCAGTAATTTGTTCATAATCATTATGTGAAATAACTATTTGGAGGTATTCTTTTTTAGATTTATCGGAAACTAAAGCCAGGTTACAGAAAAGTCATCTGTGTTATGCCCTAGTGCGTCAGTAGTAGTTTCAATTATAAATACGGAATCTCTCACTTAACTGACATCTATCTAATGCGGCAACCAACTTCAGAGTTACGAAATTATATAAATATAATTATGTAAAATATATATATATATTATAGGCTTGTAAATCTATGTGTCTCTGGGCACGTGCTTGTGATTTATATGCATCTGTTGTACGCACTGTAGAACCAAAAAGGCGAAGGTATTTATATACTTATATAATATTTTACTTATAAAAATTATTTGTATAAATATTACAGAAATATTTTTACAAACAGATTGGAGTAAATAAATCTATATATTCATTTCAAAAAAGTTATACAGTTAAAAATTAATAGTATCAACATTTATTTTAGACTTGCCACTGCCCAGTTAGAATTGGATACTGTAATGAGTGTACTTAAAGAGAAGCAAGGAAAACTTGCTGCTGTTGAAGCTAAAGTATGTTTAATAAAAAAGTTGTGATGCGTCTTAAAACAGTTTAAATCAACATATTGTGTTTTAACATGTATGAAATGGATAACTTTGAAAAAGTTTATTGGATTACTGTGATTTTGTTAAGTAAATCATTTTGAATTTTTTTAGATAACTGCTTTAAAAGAATCTTATAGCCAAAGCATAGAGGAAAAAGATCACCTGACAAAAAATATTGCTCAAACTGCTTCTCGGTTAAAACAAGCCTCAAAACTTACTGCAGCTCTTGCTGAAGAGCAAGTTCGATGGACAGAAAATATTGCAGTATATTTTTCTATTTATTGATTTTTAAATAATATATAATTTTAAATTTATAAATTTGAAACAAAATTTTTTATAAATGTTTATGTTTTACACATAATATTTAGGTTTTTACTGCAGATATTGAAAATATTGTTGGCAATGTATTTGTTGCAGCAGCTTGTGTTGCATATTTTGGTGCATTTACCAGCATGTACAGACAGGAGGTTTTTTTAATGACAATAATATGTTTTAACAATTTAATATTAATTTGAAGATGTTAAAATTTTCAAAATTATTTTTAGTTAGTTTCTTTATGGGTTTCTCAATGCAAAGCTCTTGGAATTCCTGTTTCTGATAAATACAGTTTTATACATGTTTCCTCCAATCCGTTTGAGATTCGCAAGTGGAATTCAGAGGGTCTACCATCAGATAATGTAAGACTAAATTGCTTTACATTATTTCAAAGCTTTGTTTAATCCCAATTAATTTTAGCACAGTAAATTACTTTACTTTCAGCTGTCAACAGAAAATGCAATACTTGTCACTAGAGCTCGTCGATGGCCACTTATGATTGATCCACAAGACCAAGCTAACAGATGGGTGCGATTCAAAGAAGCAAAGAATGGACTGAAAATCATTAAACTTACTGACAATAATTTTTTAAGAACTCTTGAAAATTGCATTCGAATTGGAATGCCTGTGCTGCTTGAAGAAGTTGGTGAAAATTTAGATCCAGCTCTTGAGCCTGTTTTACTTAAACAAACATTTGTATCTGGTGGACGATTACTTATACGGCTCGGAGATTCAGATATTGATTATAATAAAAACTTTCGCTTTTACATGACTACAAAACTATCTAATCCACATTATTTACCTGATGTTTGCATCAAGGTTACAATCATTAATTTTACAGTGACAAAGACTGGTCTTGAAGATCAACTTCTTGGGTTAGTCAAATGGCACTTTAAATCATATTAAAATAACTTTATTTTTTTCATAGTTTACACTTCTTTTAGTGATGTGGTACGTTTGGAAAGACCTGATCTCGAAAATCAAAGAAACCAATTAATAATTCGAATTAATGCAGATAAAAATCAACTTCATGCAATTGAAGATCGAATTTTAAAACTGCTTTTTAATTCAGAAGGAAATATATTAGATGATGAGCTGCTTATCAATACACTCAATGAGTCAAAGGTAAAAATTTATTGAAACAAATAAAATAATTGAGTAGTTATTAAAATAATTTAAAATATTGTTAAATATATTAATACATATAATAATGTATATATATATATATATATATATATATATATATATATATATATATATATATATATATATATATATATATATATATATATATATATATATATGAGTATATATATATAATGTATATATATATATATATATATATATATATATATATATATATATATATATATATATATATATATATATACATACATTAATGATGTGTCAGGTACCTGGATCGGACCCGGGGACTCGGTAATTTGGCTGGATCCCAGGATACCCAGAATCTGCCATATTTTTGCAGTACCCAGCGCCGAGTATCTTAATAGAAATTTTTGATAAATATTTACCTTTAATACTGTAACTATATGTTTAAATGGTACTTTAAATTGTGTTGAAATATTATTAACAGAATTGCTTTTGATTTTAACTTCTAGTGTTATAGAGTTGTTTTTTGTTGTTTTTTCTGTCTTCTTTGTCTCTCTTAATCTTTTATTTTCTCTAACATAAATTTTGATTAATTGGCGCATACCAACAATTATTTGGCAATAAAATACAAAAAAATTATAATTTATACATAATACCACAATTGTAAAACAATTTTTGAGTCTTTTCTCTTGCAAAGTTCACCAGACCTACTTACTCTTTGTGAGACTAGTTTGACTTCAGCTGTCTCATCTTGTGATCTTAGTGTTGATGGTTATCTTTCTTTAATTTGTAAAGACTTCAATATCACATGCTTGGCCTGGGCATTTAAATTCATTAGAATTGACCCATTTGTTGGAAAACAAGGTTTGAATCCATAGACTAATCTTTTATGTGCTTTTGCTTAGCACCACTTCACTCTATTGTCTTTCTCTTTGTTATATATCGCTCTCCTTCATCTCAAGACTGCACTCTTCTTGATGGTATTTCTGATCATATTGGCCAAGCTCCCGCTCTTTATCCATCAGCCAATATTGTTGTTGTCGGTGACTTTGATGCTCATTACAATGAATTAGGTGCTTCTGATCACAGTTTGATCTCTCTATAACTAATATCTCATTCTTCTTCATCATCAAAATCTCCTTATCATTGTACCTCTTACAACTACTTTAAAGCTGACTGGGACTCTTTCCATGATTTTCTTTGTGGCCCTTGGGTAAAAATCTTTCATCTTCCTGCTGACAAATGTGCATCTTACAAAACTTTGTGGATTCAAGCTGGCATTGAATCTTTTATTCCCTCTCGAAGATTCAAGGTCAAGGCTCACTCTTCTCCATGGTTTTCCTCACATTGTGCTGCTGCAATTGCCAATCAAAACCATTACTTCCATATCTATCAGCAAAGCAATTCTCCAGAAAACAGACATCTGTTTATTACTGCTAGAAACCATTGTAAAAAGGTTTTGTCTAATGCCAAAGCCTGCTATTCTCAGGTAATGAAATCTTGTATTTCATCACAAAAAGTAGGCTCTCCTGACTTTTGGAGAATCTTTAATAATATCAATAATAAAGGCAAATCTGTAATTCCACCTGGTTCAGACTTAGTCACCCCACCTAAAAACAAAGCTGAATTGTTTGCTAAGAACTTTTCATCAATATCATCTCTTGATTACACTAGTTGCGTTCTACCTGATAAAGCCATCAAACAGGTTAATTCATTTCTTGATGTTCGTATCACTCCAGCTTCTGTATCTAAAGCAATTTCCTGCTTAGACTTTTCTACAGCCGTAACCACCGGGGAGGGGGGACTAGGCCCCCCATGAAAATCTAGAGCAAGTTATATAGAAAAAATTCAAAAGTTAGAAACTCAGTTTATTTAAAACATAGCCTCTCACAATATTGCAATTAGATGTTAAAAACATTATAAAAAATTTCTTAAAAACATTTTTTTTAACATCTGAGTTTTACGCATTGTAGGTTTGCATCTGATGATTTTAAGTTTTCATATTGCAAGATTGTTATACATATTATTTACATGTAAATAGTGTATTCAACATTTTTGTATAAAGGTTAACAATTAAGATAATGGTTATTTGTAGATTGACTTTATAAACAACTGATAATTTTAGAATACATCTGGTGTTATTAAAAGTCGACTAATGGAAACTGAAAAAACAGAAGAACAGATAACAGCAGCTCGAGAAAAATATAGATCTGTAGCAACACGTGGTTCAGTTTTATATTTTGTTGTGGCATCTCTTTCTGAAATTGACCCTATGTACCAGTTTTCATTAAAATATTTTACGCAAGTAATTGTTAAAAAAAATTGTTTTTTGTCATTATTATATTATTATCATTACCTAAGTTTTAATAATTTCTATTGAAATAATTTTTTTAATCTAGCTATTTAATACTTGTGTTGAAAATGCTCCCAAAGCAGACACTTTAGAGCAAAGGCTACAGATATTGTTAGGAAAATGCACAGCTACTATATATGCTAATATAGCTAGGTATTTAAATTTTATATTACTCTTGTTGGTATAAAAATAAATAATAATAGCAATTTTTCGGTTTATAGGGTAACAGTTATTGGATCATTGTATGCTCTACTTTAGTGGCATGCAGCTTCTGAATCCAATTTGTATACAACTTCTAAATAATCACTGATGTCTAGCTAATTGTAATATTTAGTAACAAAGTTGGATTGCACAAAACAACATTGTATAACACTAAGAAGTATTATATATACTATGTTTGTCATACATGTAGCACTTATCAAGCATGTAATGGTTATCACAGATGTAGTGATTGTTATCCATGTAGCGCTTATCATGCATGTATTGGTTATTTAAAATCTAGTGGTTATCTATTCTGTAGTAGCTCATGTGCATTGAGGGTACCATGCATGTAACAATTTTTAAGGAAGATTTTTCAAGAAATGAATTTTGACATGATACTAACTTAAAAATTTGAATATTTTCATTTATTTGTATAACAAAACAAAATACTTCTCTATTATTCAAGCTTTTCAAAGGCAAATTAAGCATTTTTTTTTACTTTTTTATTAAACACTTAAACATTTTTTACTACATTCATTCCGAAAGACTGAGGGGGCCACTACAGTCAAACAAACTGCTTTTTTTGTTTTTCTTTTTTGCATTGTTGTTTCTACACTCTCTTAAATCTTCAAATTGTAGATATAAACCTCGATAAACAAGTTTACTCTGATTAACTTTTAATCATTTATTTTTAAAAATAATCTAGTATCTCTACTTTCTCTTTATCCATTTAAATCAATAATTTAAACAAAGTCAAGCATCACTCTTCTCCATGGTTTTTCTCACATTGTGCTGCTGCAATTACCATCGAAACCATTACTTCTATATCTATCACCATAACAATTTTCTAGAAAAATGTTTACTATTACTAGAAACCATTGTAAAAAGGTTTTGTCTAACGCCAAAGCCCGCTATTCTCAGGTCATGAAATTTTGTATTTTATCACAAAAGTTAGGCTCTCATGACTTCTGGAGAATCTTTAACAGTATCAATAATAAAGGCAAATCTGTTATTCTACCTCTCTTGTATGGTTCAGAGTTTATCAGCTCACCTATAGACAAAGGTGAATTGTTTACTGAGAACTTTTCATCAATATCATCTTATGATTCCACTAGTTGCGTTCTACCTGATATAACCAACAAACAGGTTGATCCATTGCTTGACATTTGTATCACTCCAGCTTCTGTATCTAAAGTGATTTCCTGCTTAGTCTTTTCTACAGCTTGTGGTCCAGACAACATACCTGTTATAGTCTTGTAGAAGTGTTCTCTAGAGCTGTTGTCTATACTTTCAAAACTGTTTAACAAGTGCTTATCAGAGTCTTGTTTTCAAGTGTGCTGGAAAGCGGCATCTGTTATCCTTATTTTCAAAAACTCTGGAGAGTGATCTGACTCTTCCCAGTCTTCTTCCTATCATAAGCAATCTTTAATTAACAAACACTTAATCTCTCATCTTGAATCTAATAAATTACTTTCTGTTCATCAATATGGATTTTCATCTTCTTGTTCTACAGCTGATTTGCTAAAAGTAATAACCAAAAGGGTTTTATTGTGCATTAGATAGAGGTGGAGAGGAAACCATATCCTAAAATTCATTCTTGTTTTACTTGTCTTTCAATTAAGTCTCATCTTTTTTCTGTGACTGTTTCTAAGTACTCCAAAAACTCTTATTTGTCTAGTTTTTTTACTTGAATATTAGTTCTTTAGAATTTGTTTCCTTTATCTTGTTTTCCTGATTCATATAATTTGCAATCTTTTAAGTTGTCAATTGTTATCTTGCTCTTTAAATTTCATTTTTTCTCTAACTTCCAACTCTTACTAGTGGTTGCTTGCAGCCTTGTAGGAAGCGTAGATGTTAAGAAAAAAAAAAAGAAAAGATTTTCTTGTTTGGAATATGTTGCTTATTTTAATACACTTATTTATTTACAAATTTTTAAATATTTTTATGCTATATTTAGAGGTTTATTTGAAAAAGACAAACTTGTTTTCTCCTTTATGATATGTGTTGAAATAATGCGTCAAGCAAAACTTATTAGCGACTTGGAGTGGAATTTTTTCCTTCGTGGTGGAATAACTACTACAAATACCTGCAAACCTAGCAACTCACAAATATCTGATCAAGATTGGAATATGTGCTGTCTTCTTGAGGTATATCGAAATTCCATTTCAAATGTTTTAATTGGGTCATATTAGAATGGTTAAAAATTATTTCAAAATTTTTTCAAAAAATTCAAAATTTTACCTAAGAATACATTTAATTTTTCTTTTTACAAATGTAAGATATGTTTTCTTTTTAATGTAGAAGTTGTTTGACATTTTTTAGAGCATTATTCCTGCTTTTAAAGGTTTAAAAAACACTATGATAACAAGACCAATCCAGTGTGTTGTTGGTAACCTGAAGGTTTGTGATAATGATCTTACAGTTTCTGCTTTTATTTTTTTTTTAGTTATTGTGTATTTTTATTGTTTATATTAGGTTAATATATGTTCAGAAAATTCGGAATATTATTCAGATGAAATTCAAGAAATACTTTTAATTGAGAAATTAACTCCATTTCAACATCTCATTTTAATCAAATGTTTTCAAGAAGAGAAAGTTGTTTTTGCAGTTATAGAATTTGTAGCTTCATATCTCGGAAATGAATTTGTTGAAAGTCCTCCTATAGACTTAAAAATATTATATCAAGATATGTCTTCTAAAATACCTTTAGTATATATTCTCTCTTCAGGATCTGATCCAATGAACAGCTTTTCACGATTTTGCAAGGAAATGAATCAATCAGATAAGTATGAAAATATATTCATTTTAATTTCAATCAAATTTAGTAATAAATTTCTGCAAGTTAAATAAAAATATATTATTATTATTTTAATTCCTTTTTCTTCTTCTTCTTCTTCTTCTTCTTCTTCTTCTTCTTCTTCTTCTTCTTCTTCTTCTTCTTCTTCTTCTTCTTCTTCTTTTCCTTTTTCTTCTTCTTCTTCTTCTTTTCCTTTTTCTTCTTATTATTGTATTTATTATTAGTAGTTTAGTATTATTATTACTATTATTACTATTATTATTACTTGCATTACTATCATTATTACTTGTATTATTATTGTTATTAATATTATTATTTAATTATTGTTATTAGAGTCCATTCCATATCATTAGGACAAGGACAAGGTCCTGTTGCAGAGAAGCTGATTATAAATGCTGCAAGAAATGGGGAGTGGGTATTTTTACAAGTGAGGGTTATTTATTTCAACTTTTGATTATAGTTTAACATTCTACTTCAATTTTATTTTTAACTTTTTTCTACTAGAATTGTCACCTTGCTGCATCATGGATGATTCCAATGGAAAACATCATTAAAGATTTGTTTAATGACAATTCTGTTCATGACGATTTTCGTTTGTTTTTAAGTTCAATGCCTGCTAAATGTTTTCCTGTAGCTGTGCTGCAGAACAGTATCAAAGTAACAAATGAACCGCCTAAAGGCCTTCGGGCTAATATTCGTCGTGCATTTGGTGAAATTTCTCCAGAGAGTTTTGAAACTCACAGTAATAGTTCTAATGCCAATCATTATTTTTTTGTATTTCAAATAATTTAGAAACTTATTGCTATTTATTGGTAATACAAAAGGAATGCATGAGTTGACGTCTAATTTTTTTTATAGTTCTTGGTTTGACTTGGAGAAAACTTGTGTTTGGATTGTGTTTTTTTCATGGAATTATACAAGAACGAAAGAAGTTTGGTCCTTTAGGTTGGAATATAAAGGTAATTTTTTAAAAAAAGACTTGAACTAATAGGATAAAACATGAGAAAGCCTTGATTGTGTAAGTACCACACAGTTGTGTGACTTATATGGATTGTGTGGCTTGAGTGGATTGTGTGGCTTGAGAGATTTTCAAAATATAAACTTAATAGTGATAAATTTTTGTTTCATTTCAAGTTAAATGTTGACATTAAGTGTATTGGATACAAAATAGATAAATTCAAAATTGAGGTCCTAAAATGTATATACATTTTTATCATAGTTAAGTTAAGTACATAATTGGATAGAAACAAAATGTTGGTGGCAAAGGAATATAAGTAAATTTCTTTACAATTTTGGTTGTGCCTTTGGTTACAAGTGTAACCAAGAGCACAACCAGAATGAGCTGTGCTCTTGGTTACACTTAGTTATTCATTGTGTCTCTTGGTTACATATTCATTGTGCTCTTGGTACACCTCTTTGTTATTTTACTCACCCCCTCATATATTATAATTCTTTAGTCATGAAATGCGTAGTTCCAACTTCAATTTTTAATTGCTTAAGTTAACCATGAAGTAAAATTTAGAAAAAGTTAAATCATCATTTTTATAGCAATCTGTTTAAAGTTAAAAATCTTTTAGTAGTAATTTATACTAAACTACTATAAAGTTACAAAAAAAAATACTAAGTATTCCAAATTGGTATGATTTAAAGGGTTATGATATTGCATATAATTTTTGTGCTTATTTGAAATTCATTATCATTCTAGTTTCATTAATGTTTTAAAGTTAAAATTGTTTTTATCATGTATCTGTGTTATATAAATGATATTAGATAATACAACCTTAAAAAGTTAACCTACATTCTTGTAAGTTTAAGACAAATTACATGAACTACTTTGTGATGTATGATATTACATGAACTACTTTGTAATGTATGATATCAACAATACATGAACTACTTTGTGATCGAACCAGGCTAGAATTAATGTAAAACATCTGAACCTGTAAAGCTTCTAATGCCTGGAAAGTTTGGCAATTTATCTGGATCTTTTTAGACTTTATTTTATGCTATTTAATATTATAGTATTTAATTTTTTTATTATAAGTCTTAAAATGCTCATACTCTAAGATATATCTAATGATAACTTTAATGTTATAACAAATATAGTTTTTACAAAAAAATTTTTTTTATTTAAATGAACATCAATGCCTGTTAAATGTGATTTATTTACAATTACAAAGCAATTGTTATCTAGATTGTTTAAGTATGTAAGCTTGCTATGATTTTAATTTGCATCATTTCACATGTGTTTTTGTACCAAATATACTATGTTACAGATATATTGTTATAGTCGCCCATGTTTTGCACAAGGTATATTTATGTTGACATTAGTAGAGTAATAACCAAACTTGATGATGTATTAACAAGTGATGAACAGCTATACCGTTTATTTATTAACAGTTCGCATTTTGAAACTAATATAAATATTATGGGAGAGTTTCCTCATCAATTATAAACCAAAATCTATTTTTATGCTTAATGCAGATGACCATCTTGACCATACACCACTAAGTTGTGCTCACTTTATTCTTCAAATCTATGTTGTTTCTGGACCATGAACTGTGAACAATCGACAGGAAATATAACACAAACATGTAATTTTGATTAATTTTGTGCTCCACATGTCTTGCAATCTGATAATGGGAGAGAGAGTTGAAATTATACAAGAGCTTCTTACTCTCTGGTTTAGTTTTGGTAAATGGTAGATTTAGATATCCTCAATTACAAGGCTCTGTTGAAAAATGTAATGCTGCTTCAAATGATTCTATTATAGCTTGAATGAAAGATAATAAGCCATCTACATGCAATGAAAGATAATTAGCATGCAATGAAAGATAAGCCATCTGCATGCAATGAAAGATAATAAGCCATCTGCATGCAGTGTAGGATTAAAATTTATTCCGTGATTGATAAACACCACCTTTCATGAAACAATAAAAATGAAGCCATTTAAAGCTATTTTAGGAATCAAACCAAAAATTGGATTGGGCACAATTTTTTCAACAGAATTTCATAGTCAAATTAATTTGGGAATAAATGAAGAAGATCCTGAAAAAATTATAGTAATGCAAACATATTCAAAGTTGTGCATTCAAATCTAGAAAATTGTAATCAAAACTCACCAAGAACTAGAAAAATTTTGAAGAAGTTCATGCTCTAGATAATTAAAAAAAACATGAAAATCTGCAAATTTTGTTTGGCTGTTTTGCAGTTCCTCAAGAAAACACTAATATAGTTGAGGTAAAAGGTATTTTTAATACAGGCAGTAAAATCGCGATCTAGCTATTTATTTAAGGACATTGAAAATATGGAAAAAAGTTGTTAAAGCTTACGATGAAACCATCAAAAAACTAAAAGCAGTAAAAATTTGTAATTGTATAATGTCTTTGCATCATCTTTAAATGGGAGAAGTGGTGTCCCTGCTAATATCACTAATATTGTTTTTTAAGTTAAAAATGGGGAAGTATACAATTGGTACAAAAGGTAATATTCTTGATTATTGGTTGGAAAGAAACAGCTTCATAGGTATTTATATGGTTAACAGCTAGTGAGAAGCTAACTAAAGTATTAAGTATCCAAGCATTAGTTTGTAAATCTTTTGTTGGTCATGACCATGGTCTTAAAAGATGCTCTTTCAAATTCTGATGGATAGTAAAGAATGCTCTTGTTTTAAAAACTTTTATGTGTGCAATTCTTCTTGCAATCCAAGAAGTTCATGTCACAATTTTTATATATATTTTTTAAATAGTTTATAGGAACAACATCTTTATGTTGTTATAACTAATGTTTTATAATGTTTTATAACTAATTTTCTATATAATTTTGAAATTCTTTATTACTATATCACTTGTGTTTATTTATATTGAAAGTTTTGCTTAATTATTTATCTTTTTTTAAAAAAAATACAAAAGCTGAGTTTATATAATAATTTAGTTTAAACTTAGTAAAATATTAGGAATTTAAGTAATATTTATAATTCAGAAAAGGCTAGGTATGAAAAGACTTGAAATTGATGTTTACAAATTGTTTCAGTTTTAAGATATTTTTTACATAAGCAATGAAATTAGGGACTTACTTGAACATGCTTTGATTCTATGAGGTAAATATTCCAAAGTTGAAAAGGCCTAAGAATGAGTATCCCTTAAACCACAAAATAGTCTTTGTGCTCAATGCAGCAATCAAGGTAACTCAAAACAATGGCAACCATAAGTATGATATTAAAAGAAAAAATTTATACCCTTATGTCTTCTCATATGTAAGAAAAATCTATTTTCTCTATCAATTTTTCAAAAATGTATAAGAAATATGCCCCCAAATTAGTTTTAAATTGCTGAATTTCATTATTTTGTACAAAATATCTTAAAATGATAACATTGTTTCCAATTTCAAGACAATAAATTTGCTTCAAATGTTTCCAAATAATCTGAATTGAGCAAATAGACAATGTTAATTTTTTAGCTGTTTTTTTTTATTCTATATCTTTAACTACCTTTAAAATAAAATCACAAAAAAAAAAAGCACACAGTTCACAAAATGTGCAGTATTATAGTTGCATGTACTGTGTAATGCGCAAACAATTGCATGTTCTGTGAGTTGTTATATCAGTTATTTATTACTAAAAAACTATACACTGACCCTGATTCTGAGAGCTATTCTGTGAGTTTTTATATAAGCTGTTTATTACTAATATTATTTTTATATATAATATATATTATATATATATTATATACTATATATATATAAAATATAATATATATATTATAAACTATATATATATATATAAATAAGTATTTTTATATAAGCTGTTTATTACTAATAAGCTATATGCTGATCCTGACCCCGAGAGCTGTGTTTATATGTATATATATCTTCTTTTTTGAGAGAAAAAAAAATGGAATTAGGTTGGCAAAAAAGTTGGTAAATCTATATCTATATACGCTATATATATATATATATATATATATATATATATATATATATATATATATATATATATATATATATATATATATATATATATATATATATATATATATATTTATATATATATGTATATTAATTATAAATAAAACTGCATATTTTTCACAACTATTAGTTTCATGCTAAATGCAATCATCAGGTGTAAAAAAAATATCTTGCGAAGATATATTCAAGCGCTAATACGTATATATATATATATATATATATATATATATATATATATATATATATATATATATATATATATATATATATATATATATATATATATATATATATATATATATATATATATACATATATATATACTCACATACACACATACACAACCACACACACTCACACATGCACACACATTTTTTTTAATAGTAAATGAAAAATCACTGACTAATATCATAAATACTAACGTTATAGAAAATTAAGTCCTTTTTTTTTTTTAAATAAAATAAATTTTTAATTTTAATATTCCTTAATAATTTATAATTAGTTATATAATGTTATTATTATTATTATTATACATATACATATATATATATATATATATATATATATATATATATATATATATATATATATATATATATATATATATATATATATATATATATATATATATATATATATATATATATATATACCTAACTGCTGACCTAGAAGTGTTTGAGGTTGGCAAAAATCACCGACTTTGTTTTTATGTTTTATGGCATGTATATAAGTATATCGTCGCCTTAGAGGGCAGAGGTTCTATCTCCATTTTGGGTAGTTTTGCAGGAGAACAAAAACAAAGTTTGAGCATTAAGCATAAATCAGCAATTTCATTTTTTGTTAGTGTTAATATTTTTTGATCAATTAGAACTATCAAACATGATAGGAATAATTCAACTTTTTTGAAATTATTAACATTGAAAAGAGTATGGCACAAATTATAAAAGTCATCATGGAGATAGAACCTTTGCCTAACTTAATTGCGAGTTGAATGGAATTTTTGAAATTTATAAACATAATGAATGTAATTAAAATTCTTTTTTAATTAATACAAAATGCTTTTTTAAATTGAGTCTTATGGAATGGTTTTCCAAAATTCTCTTTAATTCTCTCAATATGTTTTTCGATCCTCTTGCTCTACGGCTGATTTACTAAATGCTGTGACTGAAAAAATTAATTTTTCATTAGATGGAGGTGGAAAGGCTAGGACTATTGTTCTTGACATATCTAAAGCTTTCAACAAAGTTTGGCATACTGAGCTTCACCATAAGCTTGCTTCATATGGTGTATCAGTCAAAAGCTAATACTCTTCTCCACTTTCAGTAACTTCTACCTCAAGGTTCTATCTTTGGTCCTTTTTTTTTTTTTCTTATATACATTAACAATCTTCCTGACAACTTTATATCTAAGGAAGCTGATAACTCAACTTTATATTCCTGTCTTGACAAAAAGTGTTCTCTTTTTGATCGCTTAGAACATGCAGCCATATGAACCTTATCTCACTTCTTAATGGATTGGACCTTGCAGTGGCTTGGGAATGTTAACTCCAACAAAACTCAGTTATTTACTGCAAACAACTATCGTATTATTTTTGACATTTGAATGAATCGCAACCTTCTCACTGAGTCCTCTTCTTTATATTTTCTTGAATTATTATTTACTACTGACCTTTCATGGAAACCATATATACAATCCATGGCTAAATTAACATCCCCTAAGATGGCTTCTCTTTATCATACTCACCATTTTCTTACTCCTGATTCTATTCTCTACCTCTACAAATCTTCTTATATGTCCTGCATGGAATTTCATAATAGAATAGGGCTGGTTCTTTTAATGATGCTCTTTCTCTTCTAGACAAGGTCCAAAAATGTATTGTAGACGTAGTTAGACCCTGTCTATCTGCTAAGATTGAGCATCTTTTTAAAGTTGCATCTCTTTCTCTTTTCTAAAAATACTATCATAGTTGCTGCTCAAAGGAGTTATCTTTAGTTCCATCAACTAAAACTCATTCTCATTTGACTCGTCATTCAGTAAAGTCTCATTTGTTCACTGTATCTGTCTCTGCATGCTCCAAAAACTTTTGTTCATCTAGTTTTTTTCTCCACACTTCAACTCTTTGGAACTCTTTCCTACTTTCATGTTTTCCTGACTCGTTTCCTTGCTCTATAACTCTATACTTTTTTTTTCAAGTAACTCTTAACTTATAAGTGGTTGCTTACAGCCTTGTTGGAAGGAATCAGAATAAATATATATATATATATATATATATATATATATATATATATATATATATATATATATATATATATATATATATATATATATATATATATATATATATATATATATATATATATATATATATATATATATATATATATTAGATAAAGATATATTATTAGCATGTGATATTCCTATTATTCTTTTTTTTTCTTCATTCCTGACTTTTAACTTTTCTTCATTCCTAACAATTTTTAACTTTTTTGCTATTGTGCATAATACTTCAAGAAAGATTTAAAATGGCACTACATGTATACCAAGCAAACACGGGGCATACAAAAAATGTACAATGAACCTTCTGATGGAATGTCGAGGACGCGTTCTAAACTGATTCTAGATTAGACGCTCAAAGACATGCTTTCAGGACGTTCTATAGACATCGTAAAAAGACTTAAATAAGACTTTCCGTTTAAGTGCAGTTAAAGAAAATTGGTCTAGAAATACGTCTTTTAAACATTCAAAAGACATTCTGAACGTCTTTTGAACGTTCAAAAGACATTTATTATGCAATGAGTGTATTTTCACAGAATTTGTAGGGTTTTGGGGACAAAAATTGCGCATTCAGAAACCATAACAGAAGCGGCAACCAGTGTGCCTTATTTAATTAAAACAAATAAAACATAAAATTAAAAGTATATACAAGATTAAAGCATATTTTAAATTACAGATTTAAAAAATCATAAAACGTTTTTCACAGTCACCAACGCCTTTTCTATCCAATGCTTTTTTCAGGATATCTCCAATGCAACTTTCTAGTTCATTCTCGGTATACTTAGGCATGGTCTCTGCAAAATACAAAAAATTATACATAAATAAGATTTATAAACTATAAAATAAAGAATATAAAAAAGATTAAATTAAGTTAGCATATGCAAATGTGAAGACTAACTGAACTATTATTTTGTAATAAGTAATTATATTTTGACAAAAAAAAGACAACTTATTATTATGCATAATATAATAGTTTAATCTTATTCATGTAACAAATCAATTAATTTTATAGTCAGATTTAAAATTAAAAAAACCTTATGATTTAAAAATCATATATATATATATATATGATTTTTAAATCATAAGGTTCTTGAATCTTTTATTTTGAATCAAATGAGTCTTGAATCCATTACTTAATATAATTCTTGAGTCTGGAAAATTAAAATATGGTTGTTAACTATAATATATAATATTTAAAATATGTTTATATATATGTATATATATATATATATATATATATATATATATATATATATATATATATATATATATATTTATATATATATATATGTATATATGTATATATGTATATATATATAAATATATATGTATATAAATATATATATATATATATATATATATATATATATATATATATATATATATATATATTATATATCGCCAAAAATAAAAAAGAAAGATTTATAAGATATAATAACAATCAACCAAACAAATGAAAAATTATACAATTTAAATATAAAATTTGACTAGATTATATTCTTTTTGAATTCCTTTACTTGTTTTTAAGCTATATATCTTTTGTCACAAAATATACTATAACAATATTATTGTCTTGTATAACATAGCATAACAATAAAAGTTGTATAACACTTTTTGACTTCGTGTATACAATGTATAATGTTATTGTATATGCAATGACAATGTAGGTTGTATACATACTAGACTACAGTATATATAGAGTATATATAGAGAATGTATACATGAATACATACAAATAATATACATACAGACTAAGTCTGTATGTATGCAATCTGTATTACAGATTGTATACATACTATACTACAATAATGTGTATTCTACTGTGAGAAATCCATAAATGTAAAAAAAAATTATTTTTTATTTATTTATTTTTTTTTTGAGTTTTATTGCTTAAATAACGGAAAATTAGGCTGAGTTTGTAGTGTAGTTTCTTTGTATAGGGGGGGGGGGGGGTAATCAAAAGTTGACATAATTTTACAGGGGGGTCTCTGGAAATTTGACAAATTGTTGATAAGGAGGAGGGGGGGAGGTAAAAATTTCAAAAAATTTGTTGACGTAATTAATGGACAGCCCCAAATAAAGTTTTTGATATAATTACCTATATAAAAAAATACAGTCTTAATTTTTCTAAAATTTTTTATGTCATATATACTAAAATTAAATATAAATCAAATTGTTAAAAAAAAATCAAATAATCTATTAATGTAATAATAAGTAAATTAATAACTTACAGTCTAATCTATTTCAAACAAAAATGTCAGTTATTATTATTTAGATTTCAATGTTAATTTGAGATAAAATAAAAAATGGCGCACGCGTTTAACTGCCGAAAAAAAAATATTTACAAAAAGTTAACCATAAAACTAAATATTTTTGACCAATACTACGAGAATTTTTTTGAACTAAATATTTTACTAAATATTTTTGACCAATAATACAAGATTTTAATTATAGTTTACTTGTTTGTTTGATCGTGTTTGAAGTCTTTTATTATAAAAAGACTTTCGTATGTAATTCAAACGTCTTTTGAACGTTTCATGCTGACCAAAAAAAAATATTTTGGTTCCAAAAAGGTCTAGGGTATTCAGAACGTAAACTGAACATACATTGTACATTTTTTGTACATGCAGTGTTTGCTGGGTACTATATAAAAGATTTAAAATGTTTAAGTTTTGTTTAAATCCACTTTAAAATATTTTTTTTTAGTACGAGTTTAATGATTCAGACCGTTCATGTTCTTTGGAAAATTTGTCTTTATTTTTAAGCAATGGAAAAATTCCTTGGGAAGCACTTACATTTATTACAGGCCAGGTGCATGTTTGCTTTTCTTTTTTAATAAAAATTTTTAAAAAAAAATTGTAATAAAAAAGTGTACTTACATTTGTGAATACTTTTATTTAGAATTTTTATAAAAGTTTTTGTTATAGATTACATATGGTGGTAGAGTTACAGATGAATGGGATCAGCGCTGTCTGACAACTATTCTCAAAAGATTTTTTTCGCCTCGTACTTTGGAAAAGGAATATAAATACTCACCCTCTGGTGTATATTATGCACCTGATTACAACTTGTTACAAGATTATCGTTCTTATATAGAAAATCTTCCTCTTAATGACGAACCTGAAATATTTGGCATGCATAAAAATGCAAACATAGCTTTTCAGGTATGTTTAGTTCATTTTAAGTTCATTGTATTATGTAATTAACTTGATTTAACATATATATTTAACTAGATACAAGAAACACAATTATTGATTCAAAGCATCTTGGAAGTTCAACCAAGAATGACAGCAGGAGAAAGTGGCAAAACAAGTGATGAAATAGTTTATGAGCTATCTGAGAGTATTCTCCAGAAGCTTCCTGATAAATTAGATATGGAAAAAATGTTAAAAAGCTTATTGACTGTTAGTTTGATTTTTTTTTTTTAATATATAACTTTTAAAAATTATATTTATTGTTTTTGATATGCATATTGAAAATTAGCATCTTTTATGGGTTATCTTTTACTATATATATATATATATATATATATATATATATATATATATATATATATATATATATATATATATATATATATATATATATATATATATATATATATATATATATATATATATATATATATATATATATATGTATTTTAGCTTGATAGTAAAGGTAGAGTAAATTCATTGACAATAGTCCTTGGTCAAGAAGTTGATAGATTTAATAATTTACTACGAGTTATTAAGGTAGCTTCCTATTTTTATTTTTTTAATTATTTATTTTATTTTTTCTTATACAATTTATTTTTCAATTATTTTTTTTTTCTTTATATGTTTGTATACTTTGTGTGCAGGATTCATTGCAAAAAATGCAGCTTGCTATAAAAGGTCTGGCTGTCATGTCACTTGAACTGGATCATGTTTTCAGCAGTTTTCTGGACAATCAAGTTACTATTCACTTTTTAAAAAAATTTTTGAGATTTGTATAGATTTTTATTTTTTTTACTGTTAACGATAACAAGGAGTTTTGTTTTAGGTTCCTTCTCTCTGGGCTAATGCTGCTTATCCATCCCTTAAAAGTTTAGGTCCATGGGTTAAAGATTTAATGCTTCGCATAAAATTTATAGATGTAAGATCTTTATAATATTTTATATTAAAGTTTATATTATATATATATATATATATATATATATATATATATATATATATATATATATATATATATATATATATATATATATATATATATATATATATATATATATATATATATGTATATATACATATATGAAAAAAACATATACATATATGAAAAAAAATATATACATATATACATATATGAAAAAAAAGATATAACTACTCAATAATTATAGCAAAAATCCGTTTTTGTACTGTATAGTCTATGCATTTATTACTAAAAACTTTTTTTTAAAAAGTTCAAAAAAACATACATAAACAAGAACATTTAAGAAATGACAGTATAAAATTAGTAGTTAATAAAATAGCTGCTTGAATATATTCTCAACAAGAGATTCTCAACAAGAGATTCGCAATATTCAAGTGTTATTTTATGACACAATGCTTTCATTATGGCTTTTTTCTAAAAAATGCTAATAAGGTCAGGTTTGTTTAGAAACTTCTGCTTTCAATTTTATAAAAAAGATTTTGATAATGTAAGTCTGGCAAATTGCTTGGCCACAAGGCAAAAATTTTATTTGTATTTTCTTGAAGCTATTGAGGAACCATTGTTTTGTTTAGCTGATGGCAAGTTGTATTGTCAGGCCTGAAAATATCCAATTTTCTAGTTTAAAATTAAATAAATACATTGCTCTTCAAAATTTATAAATATTTTACAGAATTGATAGTCGCACTTTATTTTAAAAGATATAAACCAGCACCAAGTCTAAGAACATGATGCGATGTCACATTTTAACAATCTGGTTCTTGTATCTTTTTCAAATTTTGAGCCAATAACAAATATTTTTTTGAGGCTTTATTACTTAATACAGCACAGTATGATCAAAGATAAAACTCCTCAGCAAAGCACCTTTGAACATTGCCGACACTAAATTACACTATTCACACTAGTTTTAGATTTTGGAGTGGAAATTCTTGGTTTTCCTTAAAATAACGCCATATTTTAATGCATTGAAAGTTATCTTGAACAATTGTCTTAAACACTTTTAAACATGCAGAAATCATTTGTTCAAACTTACCATCTTCCATTAAAAGTTATACTATACTCTAAGATAATAATGTTTAAAACACCTTTCTTTACTCTATATATAGCATAAACAATCCTCTTCCTATTATTTGATAACTAAGCAATCATCCATGCAACGCGTGATTATTTAGTATGGTGCCAGCGTGCATTTATAAGTAACTATCTATAGCTATTATAAGTGGTTGGATTTTATTGGCCATAACTGTGTGTGTATATATATGGTTATTGTTGTTGTTATTATTATTATTATTATTATTAGTAGTAGTAGTAGTAGTAGTAGTAGTAGTAGTAGTAGTAGTAGTAGTAGTAGTAGTAGTAGTAGTAGTAGTAGTAGTAGTAGTAGTAGTAGTAGTAGTAGAAGTAGTAGTAGTAGTTGTAGTAGCAGCAGCAGTAGTAGTAGTAGTAGTAGTAGTAGTAGTAGTAGTAGTAGTAGTAGTAGTAGTAGTAGTAGTAGTAGTAGTAGTAGTAGTAGTAGTAGTAGTAGTAGTAGTATTGTTATTATTATTGTTATTGTTACTATTATAATCATTATTTTATTTTTATACATAGAGATGGATTGAAACTGGTGTTCCAAAGTCGTTTTGGTTATCTGGATTCTTTTTTCCTCAGGGTTAATTTGTTATAAGTTCCTTTACTTTTACTAAACTTTTTTTACTTTATAATCTATAATCCTAACTGAATCTCAAATCACAGGAAATTTATTTAAGGTTTTGCAGATTCACTTTAGATATCTGATTAAATCTATTCATTAAAACAATAATTTTGTATAATAGGATTTTTAACTGGTGCGCTTCAGAATCATGCAAGAAAATATAACCAACCAATTGATCAGCTAACTTTTAATTTTCATGTGCAGAATGTTTACTTTCCACATGAAGATGTATTTTCTACAGAGGTAGCTGATACAAGTAATGTAATAGAATCACCAGAAGATGGCGTCTTAGTGCATGGGTTGTTTCTTGAAGCAGCAAGGTGGGATGATGAGCGCATGATGATTGGTGATGCTATTTTGGGTGAAATGAGTTCTGTAAGATTTTTGTTTTGTTTTTCTTGTAATTTTAGCGAGAAAGATTTAGATCAAATCTGAAAAACAGTTTCATTTGAACCAGACAAATTTTTTTTTAATGTTTATTATTGCAATCTTTAAAAAGTTTCATTATTTCAAAAATTTGTGAATTAATGGAAAGTATATTGACCAGTTAATGTCTTCATTATGACAGTCAACATGTTTTCATTATGACCAGTCAACATGTTTTCATTATGACCAGTCAACATGTTTTCATTATGAACAATCAATTTGTTTTTATTATGACCAGTCAATATGTTTTCATTATGACCAGTCAATATGTTTTCATTATGACCAGTCAATATGTTTTCATTATGACCAGTCAATACGTTTTCATTATGACCAGTCAATATGTTTTCATTATGACCAGTCAGTATGTTTTCATTATGACCAGTCAATACGTTTTCACTATGACCAGTCAATATGTTTTCATTATGAACAGTCAATATGTTTTTATTATGACCAATCAATATGTTTTCATTATTAAACAGCAAACGACATACAAAATGGTTTAAAGAAATCTTTTATAAAGCATATTTAAACATATTTTTATACAATCTTTTTTTTTATATAATTGCTTTAGTTTGTATAACTTGACTTTTAAGCCTTTTCCAATACTTCATATGAAACCTTGTATAAATCTTGTTCATGAAAAGACAAAGTATGTTTGCCCACTTTACAAGACCACCCAACGTGCTGGTGTTTTATCTACAACAGGTAAAATTTCTTATGTTATTTTTCTACCATTTGACTTTGTTATCTGCTACTGTTAAGCAAACTTTTTGTAGTTTGTTAGAAAGTAATAAATTTATCATATGCACATATACTTTTTTGAAAAAAATGTTTTGTTATCCAAATTTAGGTCACTCGACGAATTTTGTTATTGCTGTTTACTTACCAACCGATAAAAAGCAAGATTACTGGATATCAAAAGCAACTGCGTTGTTATGTCAGTTAAACGAGTAGTTTTTTGATTTTTATTGTAATTAAAAATGTAGTTTTCATACGTGTTGTAATTTTTTTAATGCTGACTTTTTCTCCTGCAATATTTATATACCTTAAACATGTTTTTAATTTGCTCTCATTTAATAATAAACTTAATATTTTTAACAATTAATAATAAAACATTCGATTAAAAACTAGTTGGTTTGTAAAGTTTTTAATAAAACGAGTTTTCTAACACAAAGCCACTCCGTGCTGACCATTGTTATATTTATCTATATAAACTATTACTGATATCTCTTAATAACATATAAATATAGCAATGATATCTGTCAATAAATTTTGACATATCACATTTATCTATAGATAAATGTGGTACCTGTCAAATTTTATTGAAAGACGTCATAGTTCAATTTAAAAAACCAATTTAAGTTCAAAAGTTGTAAATTTTTCAATCATTCATTTAAATAAAAAACATACAGGCCCGCAGGAACATAAATTTTATATATATATATATATATATATATATATATATATATATATATATATATATATATATATATATATATATATATATATATATATTAAGTCATTTTTTCTCCAAAAAAAATAGCCCCTGGGCTTCGATCCGCCCCAGTGGTGCGGCAATATTACTGGGTAGGTCAAATAGTAGTAGGTCACAAATTTTTGTCAAAGGAACTTACACCGAAAATACAGATGACAAATTATGTCTTTTCTATCCTTTTTTTATATATATATCTTAATTTGTAATCGTTTGCTTTTTTCTAAAAACTAACTTCAAAATTTTTTATTCGAAAAATTATTGAGGGATGGGGGACAAATGCCCCTGCTGACCCCCCGGTTGCTACGGGCCTGATATATATTATTTAATTAACATAAGATGTAACTATAGTTACTACCTAATAACAATTTATTGAACTTGTAAACACCCAAAAACAAGTCTCACATTTCCAATACCAAAATAAGTGTTGACCAGTGTTTAGTAAAATTTAAATTTTTTTATGTAATGAAATCAACCTTTTAACTTCCAACTTTTTATCAATTCTAGTCGTAATTACAAAGAAACAGTTGGTGTTGAAAAAAAACAATCTTTTAATGTTTTTTTAGTCGCTGATGTTTTATATAACTCTGGTTGTTTTATGGCTGTTTTATACTCCTGGTTTATGATATAATTTCCGATGTTTCATCTAGTTTCTGTGATAAGATTGTGATCTGATTGTTTCTGGTATTTTTTCTGGTTCCTAAAATTTTATATGCTTGTTGGTAAATTGCGTAGGTTCTTGATGTTTTAGGTCAGTTAAAGTTAGGATCAGAAACATGATCCATTGTCAACGAATAACATTCTTTTATGCTTCGAGACCGTTTCTAGTAAAAAAAAAAATTGCTAGTATTTTGTAACTAATGTTAAATGATCGATGCGGCTGGGGGTGAAACCCCAACCGCATTGATCGCTATTCCCTATCGATCGATATCCGCAGCCGGATAAAGTTGATATTGCATTCTCAATAATATACTTTTACAAAAAGTTTAACAAAACAAATATTAAGTCTTTCTGCAAAAAACTCATCGTAACTACCCAGCAAACATTCTATAGCGTAATTTTAGTGAACTCGGTTATCTACTGCACTCAATGATGTATTTTATATATGTCTAACTTTGATCCGAAAAGTGAAGTTGCTTTTGCCCTAATTATAAATGGCTTCCACAACATTAACTATATAATATTTTGCCCTTTTTACAAATAGCGGATTAAATTTGTAAACAAAAAAAGCGGCGTCACTTTACGTCCAATAAAGTCTCGAAATATATATATATATATATATATATATATATATATATATATATATATATATATATATATATATATATATATATATATATATATATATATATATAACGGCAAACGGAAAATAAATTTTATATATATATATATATATATATATATATATATATATATATATATATATATATATATATATATATATATATATATATATATATATATATATATTATATATATATAACCATATATATATAACCTTATATATATATATATATATATATATATATATATATATATATATATATAACCATATATATATAACCTTATATATATATATATATATATATATATATATATATATATATATATATATATATATATATATATATATATATATATAATAACGGCAAACGGAAAATAAAAAACATTGCATCATCAACAACCAATATAACGATGGTTTGCAAAAAAATTCGAATTTTACCAATTCGCATTTTGCATTTTACTGACTACCCCCTTTAAACCATTTAAAATATCTTTATAGGTCTACTGCAAATCCATTACAAAAATGTTTGCTTGAACTTTGGCTGCCCCATGTCTTATAATAAGTCCTTCCCTTTAAAATGGTAAACTTATTTCTATAAAACTGTAATATAGGGTTTAATCAGTCAAGAGCCTTGCCAAGAAAAGAATAAAGATGTCTTAAAAAAAATAATCAACATGACGTTGATTTTAGTAAAATAAAGTTTGCCATTGAGAATAAATGGCAAATTTAATTAATATAATAAAACTTCATTAACTAATTAATATAACGCAACTAAATATTGGTTCTATTACTTATAGTGATGTTGTGAAAACTTCTTTACTTTAGAAAGCAGCAGTGCAGCAGTTTTTGCAGAGTTAATTTTATATGATTTGAAATGCTTAAATACTGATAATAAACACTGTAAGGAACATATAATGGTGAACATATAATTGATGCTTCTGTGATATTTAGATTTAATGCATATAATAGTGTTTATGTGATATTCAGAATTAAAAGCGACCTTTAAACTTTTCATTTTCATTAAATTTTCATTTATGTTTACTGTTTATGTTTATATGTTTTGAACTTAGTGATCGTCCACGCAAAGTTTTTTTTGTTTTTTTGGCTTAGCTTTAATCATCAAATCCTTTTAAAAAAACTAATAGTTTTAAAGTTAAAACCCTGCTATGGTTTAAATGTTATCTTACTAACTGTAAACAGTTTGTTTACAATAATATCTATATCTCATCTATTAATGAACATTATTACTTTTTATTATTAAACAAATATTTATACAGGATTAACATTTCAGTAAAAACTGTTATTAACATGTGTCCTGATATCAAAAATTGTATAAAAATAAAAGTCATGTAACTTTTGGTATTTTTACCAAAAAGTTGTTATTTCGCAATAGTATGTTGCAGTTGAATCAGAAACTCTAATGAAAGACTGTAAGACTAAATAACAGACTAAATAAATCTTATTTATTTATCGAAATATCTATTTATGAAACTAAATTTATCATCTTCCATTATATACTTGTTCACAGAAAGTAGACTATACATTACAACTATACTAGAAATATATACAATGGGAAACTAAATATACCATCTTTTAAAACCCAGAAGTATGGCAAACATTCTAATGTTTATCAGCGCGTCCTTGAATGGAACAGGAGCCTTAAATGTATTTTGATTTAATCAAAAAAAAATACATCTTAAAATACCTTTTCTTAATCTTTGGAGAAAAGGTATTTTGAGACATTGACATTTTTTTCCTTAATATTAAAATATTCTTTGAATTTTCTTTCCGTTTTTACTACAATTATCATTAGTAATTGCATCGCTCCTATGATCAGATTTCTGTATGAGTGACACCATCGATGGTGTCACTCATACTCATATTTATTGGGATGCATCCCAATAAATCATTAACTTATTATTATAAATGGTTTTATGCTTATTTTTTTCATTGTAATTATTGATCCGATGGCGATCAAAATAATACCGAATATGTATTATAACTTATATTTTCGAGATCTTAACCGTTTTTTACATTAACTATAACACTTAAATTCTTTATATTTTTGTATCTGAAAAACAACAACAACAAAACTCTATTTATACAATACAAAAATTTCGTTCAATAACAAAAACACATTATTGTTCAAATAGTCGCCACATAATTGTTATTTAGTTCGTTATAGCCATATTGGTACTATTTACTAGTTATATCTATCGTGGTATAGTAATGTTGTTTTTCTATTAAGCTAATTCATTTTTCTTCCAATCAATTATTGTAAACATACTTATTATTAATAATATATATATATTATTATATATAATATATATATTAATAATATATATAATTTCGTTAAAACTATTATCTTTATAAATAATATATATAATAAATAATAAATAATATATATATTAATAATATAAGTAATATATTACTTATTGCAATAATTTGAATTAATTTTGTTATCTTATACTATTATTATTTTATTATTATTATTATCATTATTGTTATTATTTTTACTATTACTAATACTATTGTAAAAATGATTTACAAAAAATAAATAGTTTTTTGTTGTTGTTGTTGTTGTTGTTGTTGTTGTTGTTGATGTTGTTGTTTTGTTTAGTTTTGGTTCATTAAGAGATTCAATGACATAAGAGGCAGAACTTGCGACTAATTGTTCTTCATCAGTAAATTGAAATGTGGTTTCGCTACACTGTTTCTTCACAAATTTACCTCGAGCTGTTGAATATGTTGGGGAGCTTTGTGATTTTTTCAATAAAGTTCAAGGTTTTGTTTTGCTTTTTCCTACGTATTTAAATCGACCCATTGATGGAGTCTATGATGTCCATTGATGGAGTCTATGATGTCCATTGATGGAGTCTATGATGAAGCGTTCGTTAAAACTATTATCTTTACTCTGTTCAACATTTTTTGAGTTTTAATTATCTAAAATTAAAAAAATTTATAAAAAAATTACTGATAGAACAGTTTCGGGTGTATGTGTACAATTACGGGTGTATATGTACAATTAAGGGTGTATGTAAATTTGACAAAACTCTAGTGCCAGGATATAATTAACAAAATTCCAACCATAAAAAATTAGTAAAATTTACAAAGCGCAAACTTAACCATGCCTAAAGTGAAATAAAAATAAACACGTTTTGAATAACAGAATGTTATTAACCTTCAGTTTAATTAATTTCACTCCGTTTGACGGTAAATATTTTTTTATATTGATTATAATTTTTTTTTTTTTTTGGTGGTTATTAAGGTACTTCTAGAAGTTATTA